ACTCACTCACTCACTCACTCACTCACTCACTCACTCACTCACTCACTCACTCACTCACTCACTCACTCACTCACTCACTCACTCACTCACTCACTCCACTCAATTAGATAGGTTCGAAATAGTTCGGTGCTTGTAAATATGTAAATAGTACATAATGCCGTTTAATAAAGAAAACAAGGCCGAAGAGGTGTTCCAAGGGTTAAAGACTAAATTGGTATTATAATTTTTTAAAATCTTTTTAATCCCATTTGACAATTTTTGGAAACACCAAACAAAAACTAATTTGCCAGATGTTTTTCTCTAAATAATTACCACTATTTTCATATTATACCTTTGCATCTAAAAGTAATTAGAAGCAACAACCACAAAATGAATAAAATTGTTACTAGATACTACATACAAAAAAAAAACGAATAAAATAACGCAAATTATATATACACACGTTCGGTTCGGAATGCTTTTACCGTTAATGGAGTAGTAATTAGGTCTTACTGCGTTAAGCTGTCAGTCTTCAATAATTAAATCAGTAACGTGATGATTATTAGGAAGCACAATAGGATATTTTTGTATGAAAGTTCAGAATCTTTTAAACGGCCTCCTAAAAAAGGAGTGTGTTCGAAGCTTGTTATTTGCAAGTACTCACAATCAGTTTGACTTAGTTATTTGTTTGATTTCTCTCATGTGACGTAAATGTACTGCCTCGCGCATAATTTTCTTCCCTTAATGCTGTATTTTTTGAATGTTTTCGTTCTAGTAAACAGAATTGTTTTTCAGGTATTTTACGAGATTCGTCTAAATTTTGAATTTTGTAAAAGGTTAGCGAACAGTATATATTCAGCCAGTTTAATCGCGTTTTGTGTTTTTCTTGAAATGTTATTTTACTTGACCTTTTTCAAACAAAATCGTTTTATTTCCAAACTCTTCAATTTCCCAAAATTTTGTGATGTCTGTGTAGTGAATTGAAACTTACTGTCTTTATTTAATTGAATATCACTACCTTCTAAATTCGTTTTGTATAGTCTATACATTATAAGTCAAAGAAGATTTCTACGCCTAGTAGTGAATCAATTTCGTTAGGTTCAAAAAACGTTGGATCCGCAAGTTTGATATTGTACGGTATGATTAATCCATGTTTGTCAATATATTGATTAGGTAGGTTATTGCAGATTTTAAGATAAATAGATAGGTAATAAGGAATTGATCTCAATGTTTTTTGAATACATTTACTGATTGCTTGATCTGCGTTTCAACTTGATTTAAACCTCCTACTGGTAAATTTATCGTATGTTCTTAACTGGTTATAAAGACTGTAGAGTGACTTTGAGACCCATTATCTATTCTGTTTCGATTGTATTGTGCCTTGCTTCAGCAGGGTTGAGAGTGCGACTTGCGTAAGCAATTGCTAATTCTTTACCTAAAGGTCTTCGACTGAGAACTACTCCGATAGCGTGTTGGCTTGCATCTGTGGTGAGAATAAATTTTTTCTCAAACTTTGGGTATTGTAATGTGGGAGCCGAAATGAGTTTTTCTTTTGAAATGTTAAACAATTTTCTACATCCTTCGTTAAATTCAAATTTTGTGTCTTTTTTTTTAATAACAATGCAAGGCTTTTAGCTATTTTAGCATATTTGAGAATGAACTTTCTACAGTCTTAAAAATGATTTTACATCCTTGGGGGGTTTTTGGAATTGAAAAATGAAAAAAGAAATCTTTATTTTATTTTCAACTGTACATCTGACTTGAATAATTAAAAAGATGTTTTTTTAACGAATTTGGTTGATATTTATTATTTATCAATAAATTTTGTTTAATAAACATAAAACAACAATAAAATAACTTAAAATTGCTTACACAGATGGTGTTACTTGCAACACCTTCGAGATAAAAAATATCTGAATAATTATAACAGAGAGATGAAACCTCGTCATGTTCTTCTTTATTTAAATGTTCAAATTTAAGATTCAGTTTAAGTTTTAAATTGCGGTAGAGAGGTAGGTTGTTAAATTTCCAGCACAATACAGTTTGATTTCACCAATAACTTTTTTTGTTTTTATTTTTGTTCGGAACAACTGACTGCGACAACTTTGTTATGCACTTAATGCGAACAAATATTGTTTGGTTGTGTACTTTAGCAATATACGAAGAAACTATTATTACAGTTTCTGTATTATTGCGTAGCACCTAAAATTAATTAGACACCACAATTTGGGTTTGAATGTTTATTTTTTACATTTACAAACGACCTTTCTCGACCGAAGATTAAAATGGTCGGTACAAAAATTAGAAACTTATAGACTAACGGTGTTGGGGTGTGAAAGTTGCTGGGCGTACAGGAGGTGTTGCGAACAATATAAAGGAATTTCTGAGTATGGTATTTATGGTAGGTACTTCTTGGAATGTCAGTTTAAGTGAAACGAATGTTGTAACGACATCCTAAACCAATAACGAAAGCAAGATGTTATTATAAGATGATGGATACATTAAACCACAGCCGTCTCTACTTACAAGCCATGCTGAAGGTTTACTCGGCAACACTGTGGGAGTCCCAGGATTTCCCAGTTAATGAGAGTTACAACTAATACATTAGTTGTTGTGTTTTTTGGTTGTGCTATAATATTTTAGTTTTAGCGGAAATATCGTGCAGTAAATGTGCAATAAGGATGATTATAGTGTGTTATAATGATTAATACCTTTGGATACAGCTTTTAATTGCAGAAGGCAATATTAACTATTACGTGAAAGAAGTGAAAATGTTTTAGGTCAGATTGTGTGTTTTGGTTGTAAATTTTCTGGTTTATTTCTTAACAAAATGCCTCTCGTCGTTGTGTTCCAAGTTGCTATTCAAATTATAAATCATCTTTAAAATGTAAGTACAAGTATGTCTATATTTTTATTCCCAAAAAAATGATGAAATGCGAAAAAAATGCATAAGTAGTATACCTCGCAAAGACTGGACTCCATGAAAATATTCTGCAGTTTACATACCTACATCACTTTAACGAAAGTGACATTATAAAAACAGTAAAAAAAAGTATCCACTGCCGGTAATGTTTTGAGTGTGCTTTTAACATATCCTAAATTACCAGAGAATAATGAAACAGGAATTTAAATTGTTGAAGAGTCTCCCTTAAACATAAGTCATAAAGGCTCTTGCCTTGGAGATATTTATTTTGATTATTTACAAAGTGGAGGACTTTCTGTTCCTACTGATAATATTAGTATAGTTTTTTTTTCACATTTATGCCATTCTTGAAGAGGTAAGTAATAACGAAAATCTGCAGACACAATATTTACGGGCTGAACACAAAAAGCCAATTTTAGGAAAATTAACTATTTTCAAAAATATTTAGTTTTGGAAAACATTATAAAGATATATTCTTCCAAATTTTATCTTCTTTTGCTAATGTTTTGCTTAATGATTACGTTAAAATTATAAATTATAGAAAGCAAGAGTCCCGCCACTCCAATTCAAATTCAGCTAACTGTAAGACAGCAAAAATCCGTAAATCATAAATTGTAATTAGTTCTTTCTAAGGGGATGGCAGGGCTATTGGCAAACCCCAAAAAAAGCTAACGCGCCTTGGCAATACTTCAATTGTGGTGTGGAAATTTGCTTTAATAAAATTACAATTATCGAGATTAATTTCATTTAGGTACCTAACAATGTTTACACCTAATCTTTTGTCTTTTCTATTTTATTCTTAATATCTACATGTTGAAGTGTATTTTAAATAATGTCACATACTATCAGTGATGTTATTTAGTTAGTTATTTAATAATTCAATTAATTTTTATCGTAATGGGTGTCTAAAAATCATGTGTAACTACGTGTAGTAATAACTAAGACTCGCAGAATAGGACTCTCACATCGAAGCAATGCGCTGTTGCCAAATTTCTCAGCATGGCTTGTATTAGAGACGGCTGTGATTAAACTAAAGAAATGTGATTTGAAGATATATACACGTATATACAAAAAATAATCAAAAATTTTATGTGTATCACCTACTGTAAATAATTTTAAACATCTTAATCTAAAAATACAATAAACTTAAACGAACTGATATAATTGTTTTTATACACACGTTCCACTCGGAACATGCCGTCCGTCTTGAACGTAGCACGTTCAACTACGAAACACACTGTATAGTATCCGCCTTATACGCTAATCATTCAGCGGTTCACTCGACGGGTATAGCCACCTGATTTTTTTACGGACACTACGCGCACCTTTCCATCGTCTCCAGGAAACACCTCCAGAATTCGCCCAAGAGGCACATGAAGTGGTGGAATATTTTCCTCCTTCAAAAGAACCATAGGGCCCACCTGAATGTCAGAAATTAGATATTGTTATTTTGAGCGTATTGTGAGTTGATTCAAGTATTCCTTGTGTCAAGGCTTCCAAAAATGTTGTCTGATTACTTGGATGTGTTGCCACTGAGGTAAACGGAAAATTGACTCTTGCAAATGAACAACAAAAGTTGTGAATAAATCTCCTATA